GCCCGGCTGGGCGGGAGGGGTCAGCGGGAGGAGGACGAGGGGGTCCTGGGGTGGGCGGCAGGAGCCCCCTCAGGGGAAGGGAGCCCGGGGCTGCTGCTCAGGGGAAGCGCTTCGGCAGCCACCGCGCCCGCAACCTAAGGATTTTCCCCTTGTGAGCGACCTGTGAGTTGAAATGGCGCAGGGGACGGGTCTCGTGGGTGCCTTCTTTTCCTGAATTTCACTGACCTTTCATCCCTCCAGCTCAGTCAACTGAAGCCGGGGCCAGCACAGGCTTTGCGGTCCAATGGAGCTCAGTGTTAGACGCTTACATGAATGTTGAAAAGCAGGTATGGTCATGTATACTCATAAAATTAGTAAGACAAAAATTACAGTATATGACAGTATATCCTGTCAAAGATTTTCTGTTTGTTGGTGTATGAGGAGCCACGTCCATGTTTGCAGAGTCACTTTTCATGGATTCCTGGTCATGCGGACTGGTACTGGGTGGCCAGGCTGCCTGCCAGACCTGATACAGCACAAATGCTGTGGTAGTGCTCAGTTTTTCTCTTCTTCTGAACTGTATGTGTGGTAGCTGAAGAAGTAGGAGAAGTACCTGTGTTGGTATATAAACAGAGGAGTTAGTGGCTTTGGGGTTGTGTGTGTGGCAGTCCTTTGCTGTGCTGTGTAGTGAATAAATGGCATGATTCTATTCACCTGGGTTCATTAAGTCAGAGCTGGAGACATCCTTTAAGCTGAGTGTTTATAATACAGTAGCTGACTTCCTTGTTAAGTGAAGTTACATTTAAACTAGTTTTTATTTGCTGTTCACATGGATTTATGCAGTGTGCCACAAACACTGTATTTGTCTAGTGTTGTTAGTTTATAATTGCAAAACCATATGGTCTATAGACAGCTTCACTTGAGATATAACAGTCATATAAATGAACCCAATTTTTCTTTAATTCTGTTGGCAGGCATGCTGGCTAAAACAACAATGTATCTCTGGTATTGGGAAGCAGTAGTTAAAAATCTCTTACATATTTAAACCTGCTGGTCTTGAGACAGTTCTGTTTGGTGGGTATTCTGTGAGGGTAACTGACAGATACCTGGTGTGTTACTTTTTCCCAAATGGTTTAGGAAGAGAGGAAGAAGGTTACCTCAACTGTCTTGTTCAGGAGCTTCCTCAGAGCATGAGCACAAAGTCTTTATTCTGTCCCACCCGTGCTCTCTACAGGTGCTCTTCCAGTGGCTTTCCTGTTGGCTTCGTCTTAGATGTGTTGCGTGCTTCAAATACAGAGCCTGCCAGAGCAGCTGAGAGCTCCAGTCTTTGGAAAAAAAAGGTAGGAAAAAATATTTTGACCACCTCCAGGCCTCTTGACTTGCACTGCCCGGCTGTAAAGCAATAGTCCAGTTTTGTTCCCAGCCTCCTCTTTAGTTCCCATTCTGCTCTTTGAAACCTTCAGTCTTTCTATCTTTATTACTATTGTTTACATTTGGATAACAGTAACATGCTTCAGGAGTCTATCTGCATCCAAAATCCTGGTGATTTCAGTAGAGAGTTTTGGATGCCCCTTTGTGCACACTGGGTACACAAGAAGCACCTTCTTTGCCTTGTGATGCTGCTGGTGTTGCTCACTGAACTGTGGTGCTGATCGTTTCCCTCAGTTTAGTGGATCAGGACTTGTTAGGAGAAGTGGGGAAGTACTCTCTTGTCTGCTCTCTGTGCTTTCACAACCAATATAGTTTTGAGATAGGTGTTTGCTGCTCAAAAGCTGCTACAAGCTGTGCTGTTAATCCTAAATATCCAGAACTATTTGCCAGCACCAGACCCATGCTTAGCTTCCTGTGAGAAAGCTGCTAAATTCCTCAACGGTTCTCTTGTATTATTCTTCCCCAGACAGGAAGACTCTTTTGTTTGTTTGTTTGTTTGTTATTAAGTCTTTGTGACCAAATTTGTCTTTGTTTAGCCCTCTTCTGAACATCTACATTGACTTCTCAGCCACCAGGCATTGTCATAAATGCATGCTACAGCAACCAGAGCAAGCAGGGTAGATCCAAGCACTGTGGGGGACGTAGTTTAAGTAGGCTTTATGGGAAACTTAAGCATATTTTTGGATTCAGCTAACACTGTGGCTTTTTATTTTTGTGAAACTCTATTCCACCTCTGGGGAAGGCAATTTTTATTTTATTGTTTATGTAAGATGTGTAGAAAATTCCAGAAACATACATGGTCTGGATAATCTCTTCAGGGATGGTCAGAATGGACTTCCTGGTTTTAAAATCGTGCTGTTTAGGTGACACATTAAATAGATAAACACCCAGGTGATCTCTGTTATCCAGCTTTGGGAAGAGATGTGCAGTTTAGTGGACAAACATGTGAAATTCACTGCAACTCTTTTCAAAATGGTTCTTCTCTGGCTGAGTTGAAATTTCTGTAGTGCATTTTTATAAAAGAGAATTCCTAGTAGGAGATACTGTCTGTATGCAATAGTAATGCTTCTTATTAGACACCAAAAAATCAAATCCCTGCATACAATCTGTTCAGGATACTTTGTTGTAAATCCCAACAGGCCTCTTGGAAACAAGTTAACCAGATTTGCATTAGTGAAGATAAATCTATTATAAATACTTCTGTAGTGTATGTCAGATGATAGATGCATAGAGGTATAGATGATATATGTATATACGTATTTGCAAGGTTAGAGCCTGAAAAAGAATATAAATTCTGTTGAAAACCTGAAAATGAAGGGATAAGTGTATTCTAGTGAAAGAAAATTTCATAATTCAATAGAAACTTTGTCTGTTTGTTTTCAGAAGCGCAGGATTGTGACTTTCGCTTACACACTCAGCAATTGGAAAAATGCCAGGTTCTGAGAGTAACTCAGTGTCTTCCCATGAAGGTGTTATAAATGATACTTCAGACGTGAGTGAAATGAAACTCTCAGATGAAGAAGGGTCAGTGGGAAAAGGAGCAATGGCTGTGCCTGAGAAGAACGGGTACCGCGACTCCGTGTACGCAAACGCAGCTCAGATTTTCCAAGGCATTCGCACTGCAAAGCCTGAAGACAGAACACTGCTGCGCTACGGAGGGGACTCGGCATCTCCCGTGCCGACTTGGAAAGATGAGCATTCCCAGCGTGCCTCTTACAAACTTGCTTTCAATGCTTTAAAATGTAAGTACAGAACTTTTCCAAGAATTGCCAACAGAAAGGATGCAGCAGGGAAAATATGGAGAACCCAAAGTGTTTATTTTCTGCCTGACAGCAGAAGTTCCAGGGAATGTTTTGGTAAACCACAGGTTACTATTAGACTGTGCATGGCTTCCAGATATTTACATACATATCTAAGTATTGTTAGCTTTTGTGAAATCAAACGTTTAAACTCTATACTTTATCATGTAAAGGAATTACATTTAATTTAGAGTTGTTAGTTTGTGGTTGAATTTGCCCTTAATTTTCATGATGTTTAAACGTCCATCTTTTTCTTTAGTGATTCCTAAGTTTTTCAGATTTCATGGCATAACTTACCAATATTGTCTTTTTTTTGCAGATCAAGATATTCTTGAAGAAATATTGTTAGATAGTTGTGTTTACCCATGCCAATCGATAGTAAGTGAACGTTTTTGTGAGGAAATAAATTTTCTAGCTTCTGAGTTGATGTAACTAGAACCTTTCCGAGTATTCTGCAACATCCTTCAAAACAGCATTTGTTGTTTTGAACTATATTGTAGCCTGGGACTGAAGTATTGCTGTCTAATTTTAAACAGTTGCCTTTAGTATCTATCTCCAAGTACTAGATGCGTTGTTTGAGAGATTCTTGGTGCACCCCCCTGCTGAGAATCAAAACCTTCAAAAAGAGAAGGTAGGAGAGTGAACTCCTCCTTGGTGCTTACTACAGTGTAATACATACTCAGTGGTGTTGTCCATGAGCCACTCCATGGCCTTGTGCTTCCCTTCCCAGCTCTGTCCCCTTGTGAGTGGGGAAAAAAAGTCATGTTCCCTTCCCTCCCATGTCTCTGGGAGTTGGGAAGCATGGAGTGAACCCCATCAGACAAACGAATGTCTTGATGTTTCATTTCCAGGGTCTCCTGAAAATCTAGAGCTGGCAGTGTAATCTGTGATTCCTTACAGTTTAGCCTTTGATGCCCTTGAAAATTTCAAGATAAATTTGAACTGATGTTATTTGTGGAGATTGATATGAGCAGGCAAATGAATTAACACATTTGATTTTTTGGTTTGTTTTTGTCAGGAAGACTTACGGGGTAACATTTTCTGTTTGGTGGTATTTCCCTGATAGCTGGAGTTTTATAGCTAATTTCAGTCATATTTGTGGTAAGGTAAGAATTTCAAAGGCATAAGATCTATAGGAATTTCATGAAAAGCAGACAAGAGTAACAGAAGTGCTGTTAATTACTGTGTCTAAGAAGATGTTGCCTGGTTTAAACATTTAGTCAGGGGAAGGAGATGTTATGAGTATCCCAAGTGCAGGATGGTGATTATATGCTGAGCTTAATAGTTGTTGTAGACCAAAGAATCCCATAAGAGATAAATTGACAGACAGGAAGTGTTTGTTAGCTTAGCTGTTCAAGGAATTACTTGATGAGGAGAAAATTATTTCAAAATTTAAATTCTGATATCATTAAAAGTCGTTAGGATAGAGAATATTATCTGTGTGTATGGAAACTATTTTTAATTTTGATGAGCTAGATATACAACTTTTAAGCTGTGCATTTAAGTTTAAAAAAACTTCTTTGTTATTTTGCTAACTCTCCATGAGGAATTAGTTTCATATTCTTACAAAAAAGTATTTAATTGGCATTTTTAATGCCTCTTACTTACAGCAAGACTGCTGTTTGATGTCAGAAATTGGTCTGGGTTGGAAAGGACCTTAAATATCATCTAGTTCCAGCACCCTGCCATGGGCAGGGACACCTCCCACTAGACCAGGTTGTTCACAGTCCTGTCCAACCTGACCTTGAATACTTCCAGGGATGGGGCATCCATAGCTTCCCTGGGCAACTTGTTCACGTGTCTCGCCACCCTCACAGTGAAGAGCTTCTTCTTACTGTCTAATCTGAATCTACCCTCTTTCAGTTTAAAGTCATTCCTCCTCTCTTTTCCCTACGAGCCCTTGTGAAAAGTCCCTCCCCAGCTTGCTTGTAGGGCCCCTTCAGATACTGGAAGGCTGCTATAAGGTCTCCTCAGAGCCTTCCCTTCTCCAGGCTGAAAAACCCCAATTCTCTCAGCCTGTCCTCACAGGAGAGGTGTTCCAGCCCTTTGATCATCTTTGTGGCCCCCCTCTGGACCTGCTCCAACAGGTCCATGTCCTTGTATTGGGGTCCCCAGAGCTGGACACGGTACTCCATGTGGGGTCTCACAAGAGCGGGGTAGAGGATGACAATCACCTCCCTCAGCCTGCTGGCCACACTTCTTTTGATGCAGCCCAGGATACAGTTGGCCTTCTGGGCTTCCCTCACACACTGTCAGCTCATATTCAGTTTTTCGTCTGCCTGCACCAAGTGATTCTCCTCAGACCCGCTCTCAGTCCATTCTCCTCTACTCTCCTCAGCCTGTATGGGTGTTTGGCATTGCCCCAGTCCAGATGCAGGACCTTGCACTTGGCCTTGTTGAACCTCATGAGGTTGGCTTGTGCCCACCCCTCCAGCCTGTCCAGGTCCCTCTGGATGGCCTCCCTTCCCTCCAGCGTGTTGACTGCAGCACAGGGTTTGGCCAACCTGCTGAGGGTGCACTCGCTCCCGCTGTGCCTGTAGCTGACAGAGGCGCTAGGCAGGGACAAAGACCCTTTGCAGAAGTAAGGCATGCTTTGTGTCATTGCCTCTCTCCAGTTGCTTTTCTGTTGCAGCCAGATGAATTAACCAGCTTGCTTGTTGTGATGCTTCATGACTTACAAGACAGAAAGTTTCAAGCACGAGAAATTTTTGATGAAGAGGAACCTATAGCAGAAGTTAAGAAAATAGAGCATTATCTATACAGGTATACATGCTGAGAACTTTTTTTAGAATGATAAAATAATTTAGATTGGAAAAGACCTTTATGACTATTTGAGTCCAACTGTTAATTTGACACTGAGAAGTCCACCTTGAAATCATGTCTCTAAGTGCCACATATACACATATTTTAAATGCGTCCAGGGATGGTGACTCCACCACTTCCCTGGTCAGCCTGTTCCAGTGCTTGATAACCCTTCTGGTGAAGAATTTTTTTCCTAATATCCAACCTAAACCTCCCCTGGTGCAACTTGAGGCATTTCCACTCATTTCGAGGCTCAACAAACCCAGTTTCTTCAGCTGTTCCTCACAAGACCTGTGCTCTAGACCCTTCACCAGCTTTGTTGCCCTTCTCTAGAACCACTCCAGCACCTCTGTGTCCTGATTGTAGTGAGGGGCCCAAAACTGAACATGGTATTTGAGGTGTGGCCTCACCAGTGTCACATACAGGGGGCCACACACGTCCCTAGTCCTGCTGGTCACACTACTGATAGAAGCCGGGATGCTCTTGTCCTCTTGGCAATACTTCTGTTCTGGAACTTTTGTTAAATATTTATCATTTTAAGTAATTAGGAGAAAAAAAAAAAGTGGGTATGTAAAAGAAACATTGTAAGTAGCATTCAAGTATTTCTTTCTTCAGCCTGTTGATGAACTCAGCAAGGCATTTGTTGGGCAAAATTGTGTTGCTGCTGGATTTCAAACAGCCCAAAAAGTTCACGACTATTTTAAGCGCAGGATATTCCTGTAGGGCAGTAAGTAACATACCTTGACATCTGAAGTAGGTCACCAGCAATTTTTATTTGATTTGAAGTGTTGCGTATCAAGATCATGCATAAAGCTTGTAGGAAGCAGACTGAGAATATTCCTCTGAAATTTTTACATAACAATAATAATGACTCCTAGGTGCCATCACACTTGCATTGTTTCTGTACACATTTAGAGCTCAGCTTTCATCAAGTGCTCATTCTGCATGTATGTGTATCTAGATCATCAAACATACAGAAAAATCTGATTGTGGTATTCCAGATTGCAAAACAGGCTTTTTTTTTTAGCTTTCTGAAAAAAATTGACATATTTGGGATTCATCTGTCTTAATTACAGTCCCTTGTGCATTTAATTAAACTACTCTGAGCTACATGCTGTGACCTTGCATCTACCATTGCTTGAGGTAGAAAATGTCCTGTAACTGTGTTCTCTGTAACCGCATGCAAAATGAGGCCTCACATTTGGTTTTGGTGTTTGAGCAAGACAGTATTGTAATAGAAATGTTGGGAGTTAATAGCCAATGTAAATATTTGTAAAACTCACTAAACTTGTGACTATGTTTTTATAGTTTTAGGACCAAATTGGCAGCTGCACTAGCCAGATACCGCATCAAACATGATGCTCTTTCAATTGAACATGTTCTACCAGAAACTATACGGAAGCAGGAACAAAGGGCTTCTGCTTTACCTTTATGTGTTTGGATAAACACATTTAAAACCAGGTAAGGTCTTTAAAGAATCATCTAATATTGACGTTTTTACATATGAAGCGGTATAGTTTACTACGTACTTGGTTTAGAATCTGCAGGTTATACTATTACCAGGAATTTAAGTTTCTTAGAGTAAATTCTGCTTAGTCCAGTGCATTATGTTAGTAGTTTTTACATATTGCAGTAATGGTGTTCCTAATATGTAAGAAAGTTGTGAAGCAGTTTTTCTTATTATTCTGTTGCTTGTGTGGGTCTTTCACCCAATAACGTTAGAGAAAAAAACTATATGGGTGAGTAAATTCTGTGATGAAAAACAGAAAAAACTTATTTAAAAGTGGGTATATTACTGTAAGCTGTAACACTGGCAAATGGTGTTAAAGATAGATACAATACTTAATACTGGTGTTTATTCTGTAAGGATAGTGTTAACTTGAAATAAAAATACAGTTTTAAAAATTCTTATATTCAGTGGGCTACTGTGTATGTAACAGTGGTGTTCCCAGTTCTGCACTAAGTGATACGTGAACCATACCACGTTACCCTGTTACCTCTTTTCTTAGACAACTAATCCATTTTATTAAGTTTTCAATAATTTTGTTTTCCTACTCTTTTCTTGGACCAGTGTTTTGTACTCAGGTTACAGGCTCTTCAAACAGAGCAGGTGTCTTACTCTGGTTGTGATTTTGCAACCCTTAAATAAGACTGAACTAAAAGCTGCTGCATTGAGCCTATGTTTGATGTACCATACAAGCTTATGGCACTGTCTGAAACTGCATTTCAACAAACAAGTCATGGTGTATGTACCTTTAAATCTTTATATTTGAATTGCAAACCTCAGCTTTTTGTCTTCATTATACTTACACTAGGATTTTTTCAGTTATCAGCCATTAAATTCATCGGCGAGCTGGGGTAAATTGAAAGCAATTGAAAGAACTAAACTGCTCCGGCAGCAAATTTGCTACAGTGTCTTCTGAGCACAGGGACATTTACATTTTGATGCTTTGAATCATCCTCTAGAAACAAACATCTTCATTAATTTTATCAGTCTTATTAATTTAATTATTTCAAAACAGAACTTGTATGCCTAAAATAGAGTTCCTCTCCTGCATTAGGCAGTATTGCATTTTATGTATGTATGTATTCACACATATGTATATTTACATACACTAAAAAAATGGAAGGCAAAAATCCGTATAATCAGTGTAATCTATATTGCTTCAGTAACTATTCTGTATTTACTGGTCGTATATATTTATGTTAACAGCCTTCAAGATGTTTTTGGAGATTTGAAGAAGGAGGGGTTCACAAGAGTTGCGTCTGTGTCAGACTTCAACCATTATACCTACTGTGTGGACCAGCACTGCCACGATGTATTGTTTTTTCCCTCCTCTCATAAAGAAGAACTGCTTCATTTAGATCTTTTTGCAGATTGTAAACTCTTACTGCAGGTGAGTTGGTGTCACCCTTGAATAACAAGATCTGCAAACTAAAATAATGTTTTGTGTTAGAATGAGGTCGTGTCTTGTGCGACTGTCCTGTTAAATCAGTCAGGCAGCAACATACTTGCAAAAGTGTTGGGATGTGGGCAAAGATTCTTGAGTGCTCAGCAGAAACATTTCAAAGGGCATTTTCACTCAATGCTTACTATTTTCTTGAACTAGACATGCCAGCCTCATAGGTCACCAGAACAAATTCTGGGTATTACTACTTAAGAGTATTCAAAGTGAGGAAGCAGAACCCTCAAACCCTCTGTTTCTGCATGGTGGGGTAGGGTGGTACTTGAATGGAAAGGTTTAAGTTTTTTTTTCCCCCCCTAACACACTATTTTTGCCAGATTCTGTGCAAAACTTGGTCCACATGGTCCACATCTTCACTTTTTGCCATTTTATGTAATTTGATGGAGATAATGTTTGATAATCAGTCTCTCTCCTCAGCATCTGTAGTATGAGATTATTTACTCATGTAAACATGCTTTTTGCATTCAACTCTGCCTCTGTTCAGATTTCAGCAAAATCTTATGTGTTGATCTGTAAGGGCGTGGTTTCTCTGATAATTACCTTCACAAGCTGTGTGAATAGTTCTGCATTTCTCTGTTAAGATGCCTCCGAGGATGTATTTTGCGTATTGTGGCCTACATTTGTCTTTCCTGGGACTGGCTGTCCCTAAGAGTTCCTCCTTATGGGGATGGTATGCACTTCACATTTCTTTTCACCTGTAGGTATTGAGCTTTCTTATGCATTACTTAGAATTAAATTAAATTTAGTGAGTTTAACTTAGTAAGATGCTTGGTTTTATACTTCAATTCCATATTAACAACTGCCCATGATTAGTTACTCTCCTCCCTTCTTTCTAGTTTGTCATGAAAACAATGAAATGCTTTCCCAGTTAGGAAAGTTGGCACTCACAGAAACCAAATGAGTTGCTTGTTTTCTGTCATTGTTTTCTAGGACAAGTCTCGCAGCCTGGCTGTGCACTCTGCCCAGGCACTCCTGAGGACAGAGGATGATGTTATAGTGGCTCACGTAGGCTCCCATCTGACCATTGCCCATATGTCAGCACTGACAATCCACACGCTGTCCAGAATTTTTGTTTGTGGTGTAAAGTCTTCAGCAAAAGAGGCTGAACTGAGGAACTTGTTCAGTCACATGGGATGTAAAAGTAGGTGTTAAAACGGTTGGTATGCATGAAGTATTGTAATGTAGGTATTTGTGATTTCTATAAATATGACATAACTCTATCAGGATTCAGAAATCTTGTTTGAAGATTTGGGGAGGGCAGTAACATCTTACTTCTAGCCACGAGGTGAACTGACAACTCTTCAGCTACAATCAAGTTAATAAAAGGTTGCAGATCAACCATCATATATGCAGGCTCCCGAAATGTGAGGGTGAAGTTTTCCATCTATGTATTTATTGCATAATGGTTGGTGTAGCTGGTGGCTCAGGAACTTTTGGGTCCATTTATTGTTGCCTTCAGTCTGGTTTTCACCTGAGAGTGTTAATCCGAAACGTGTGCACTTCTGCAGTTTATCCAGAGGACACAATCAGGACAGAATGCAGCGGGACCCTGGGACCCCCATTAGCAGAGCTTTCAGTGGAGAATGCTGAAGTCCAGTCCTTTAATCTGTTTGAAGTCAGTGGGGCATGCTTTGGAGGATCTGTGGCTCTATGAAAGTCTGTCTAACACCACAGTCTCCTCACCTTTATCATACTAAAATTAGGCAGGGTTGCTTGCTTGTAGAACTGTTGATTTTTTCCCTTTTTTTTTTTTTTCAGACATTCAGTTGTTACATGAAGACTTCATTGAGATTGAACCAACAGATCTGAGACTTGAAAAGGGAAAAGTTGTTTTGCTGCTACCACAATGTTCTGGGCTGGGTGTTGGCAATCCAATAGACTTTATTCTAAATGAACGTGGAGGTAACTTCTGGCAGAATAGCTAGCGCATGCTTTCTGGTAGAAGTAGTATTCAAGTATTGTGCTCTGGACATCATAGCTGCTTCAGTAATTTTGTAAAATAGCTGTCCTTTTATAGTTTTAACTACTATAAAACATATATATTCAATAACTTTCATAACTCTGTAAGTGTAACGTACATGCAGTCCACTATGAAATGAAAGAGAATAAACACAGATAATTTTTCCATACAAAGTGACCAAGAATGTATTTGGCCTAACTAGGGTTATCAATTAGGGAAAAAATCTTTCTAGGTGGCACTGATGGATTAAGAGTGTTTCTGAAAGGCAATTTCAAGTCCATAGTATGAAATCTGAGGGTTATTCGAGAGAGCAGGGTGTATATAACCTTTCTTTTAAAGTAAAAAGACTCGAGGTAGAAAATTTATTTCAAGATACCAATGAGTATGTATAATTTTCCCTTGATTCCTTTCCTTTATTGTTTGCTTGTAAAAATCTGTTCACTGTACAATTTTCATTAAATAAAAAGAATTAAAAGGCAGGAGTAATTACAGGTAAATAGGGACAGAAGCAGCACGTAGGCATTCTTTAGCATTGTAGCTCATAAAACCTACCTTCCCACTGCACTAGTAATAATCTGTTGCCAAAGCATTTTCTGCAAATAAATGAATTTTAAGACACTAACATAAATTGCATGAATAAATCTACATCTTTTTGCATTTAGATGCAGGATTGCTAAGGGACATTTTCCAAGGATCTGTGTCTGAGGATAAACTCCGTGTTCTGGCTGAGAGGCAGCTGTGTGAGTTGATGCATGCAATGACATGTAAGTGTGCTAGCTCTTGGATTTCTGGGAACACCTCTACTGCCAGTTCCATCGTACTGCCACCAGTTTTTATGTCGTTAAAACATGCACTGATTACTCTATTAGTTAACAGTAAGTGTATATCCAAACCCCCTAAGTAGTGATCTCCTCAAGTTTCAAGGTGTATCTGTGTCCTAGTATTCACCAGCCATTAACAACCGTCAGCACTGCAGAGAACTGGCTCAGCCAGACTCCTGTGGCAGCGTGCTGCCACTGGCTTCTCCTCTCCTTTTGGTAGCTGTGTGAAAAGACTGAACGCAGCCTGAATTTTTGCTGAAATCTGCAAATAGTTGAAGACATTTTAATTATTAAAACCCACTAGAGATTGGATACTAATGTGTGCAGGAAGATATGTTTTATTGGTAAAAATGACCTCCACATGGAATTTTTATGCTTCTTTCAGCTCTTACTAAGCCACTGTGTGTATGAAGAATTTGAACAGTAGAAAAAATCTGTTTGTTTTGTAGTTAACAACGTACAAGGTATTGTTTACTGTACTTGTTCGATTTACCCAGAGGAAAATGAACTAGTAGTGAAAAAAGCCCTGGAATCTGGAGTGGAAGGAAATAAAGTACAATCATATAGGTATGGAATGAGTCATTTTGTCTCTAGAAATATTAAATCGTAGCATTATTTTTATCCTTGACTGATCTATGTCTTGCATTAGATTAACAAAATTTTTTTTTGCTGCCTTGCAGTCTGTTCCTTTTGATGTTAGGAGAGTACTAAGTAGCATCCTCTTGACTAATTTTCATCTAGTATTTTTGCTCCCATCTGAAATCAAGATGGGAGGAAAGCCTCACTAGTTGGAAATAATACTGTGGTGAGCTTCTGGTAGAGCTGTTGCTTTCATCCTATCATTATTCAGAGAATGATGATAGTTTCAGATAAAACAGAGACTAGAATTCAGGGAACTTGCTAGCATGCTCTCAGCTTCTCACCTAGAGTGATCAAAGGAGAAAGAAACCAAGTCTTAAAATGTGAGAATAATAATAGAAGAATAAGAACCTCTGTTGTAGGATTCCTCATCCATGTACTCAGATGAGTGACTTCTGGGGGGCCAGGTTATGGTAATAGAACATCCTGTACCATCGTAACAAATACAAATATGTATGAAAAAAGTGTTTCTGTATTTTATATGTAGTTAAAACCTTTCAGCTGTCACCCCCGTCAGCTGGAGCAACTGTTAAAAGACTGAGGGGTACATTCAGGATTTTCCTTTCCCAGTAGATAAATGGAAGCAGTTGGCACTTGCTTGCACATAGATATAAAAGCGTTTATGGACTCCTGCTGTACATTGTTTTCCTTTGTGATTTGAAATTGTGTGACCTCTGTCATGTCTTGACCTCTATGCAGCTATCGCTTTATGGGGAGAACCAGGGGAACCTTGGAACATAACAGTCTCTGAATTATTTGAACACAAATAATACATCAATGCAATTTACAGATTATAAACAATTTATATTTTTTAAGAATGATTTTTTTCCCCTGAGCTTTTATTTTTCCAGAAAAAAAAATTGCCTCTTGTCTACAACACTTCCACTCCCCCCAAAGCCAAAACAAAATCTATTCAGTGTTTTGCAGGAACTTGTGAAACTTGTCATACCACCAAATTAACACTTTCACTTCCACATACAAGGGGATCTCATATGGTAAGAAAGGGAGAGTAAAACTATTTGCAGACCTGAGCAAATTTGTGACTGAAGAGTGAACTTCATAAATGACAATTCCAGAGTTAGTTCCTCCTCTGCTGTCATGCACATACCTTGGATGGCACAGTTCTTGCTGCAATGAAGCTGAGGGGAACCAGCATCAACAGTGGTAATAGAGCACCATAAATAATACAGTGCATGTGATCGTGCTCATCTTAAGATAAAAGCTCAAGCTGTTTAGGATACATGTACTGCTTACAACAGTTCCTTGTATACCTTCCTTAGAATTAATTAGGTAACCTGCCTCACTGACAGAATGCAGGATAGAATGAAAAGCTGTTGCAGAATTACTAGCCAGTGTTCACAGGACTGTCTTTGAGAGGCAGGTGATACCAAGAGAACAACCTCTGTGATCATCACAGATCTACTGATCATTACTTGTCTTTGCCAATAAAATGGAGGGCTTTCAAGAAGCTGGTTGTGTTTACGTGTAAATCTTTTGGAATTACTCTGCAGTCCTGACGCAAAATAAGGCTGTGCTGGAATTTGGGGTCATACATCTGGTCTTAGGGCTGTGAAGTTGTAAAGGTGATTTCAAACACGTACCCACTGTTTAAGCTGACCTTACCTTAAGGATACGACAGTTCATAGCAAAGGCTTTGTCTGTCAAATTTCAGCTAATTTCTGCATCAACTTTCAGGGTCAGACTACCCTTTAAAGGGGTTCCTAGTAACAGTAATCTGCACATATCAATCAGAATAAAGATTATCACTTTCTGGCACCAAATCTAAAAGGAAAAATTTCCTACGTGTCATAGGATATAGATTTTTATTTAGTAGCTCAAGGAGGACGTGAGCCTTGTAGTGTGTTTTACCACATTCCAAGGGACATATGGCAAATCCAGATTACAGTGAGAACTTGGGAACAAACAGGTTTGTAGGCTTCCCACTAGAAGTGGACTAGTCAGCCACCTCGGGGTGTTCCTTACCAATACTGAATGCGTTTCTCCATGACCATCTTTGAATAAAGCTCTGTCTCAAGAGGATCAGTGGGGCACTGAGGAGGGGCTGTCTCTTACAGTCCTCAGCCATACGAAGAGGAGGGGCTTATACTTCAAAAAGGAGATTTTTGAAGGTGTTTTTCTGCACTGCAACAGCTAAGTACTAGTTCAGCAGCCTTATGAGCCAAGTTCTTGAGGCCTCTTTGTAACAGCTAGGGGTGACTGGAATACAGGGAGAATGTGAGAAAAGGCTAGTTCTTCCTTCCTCACTGATGCACTGCAAGACTCTAAATTTGAAAAACCTATTACAAATAGGTGATATTTTCTAACCTAAGATACATTATTTATTATGAGTATGTTATTACAAGCGTAACAAGTCAACACTTCTGCCTTTTCTGTGTACTGCCTAAGTGTTTTCAGAGCATTCCCCAACTTCATGGTCAGCTTGATAATTTAGTAATTGCAGACTTTAGAAGGAGCCTAGCTGTTTATTATGTTAATATACTTAATTATTGGGGGGAAAAAAGGGAATTACTGGAAAAAATAAATTCTAGAAAGATGAATTCTCATGCTTTCCTTTAATTGTAGTTTTTTTTTAAATGAAGATAAGGCTGTATAGGACTGTCATCGAAAGACATAATTTGGAAGTTACTGTTAAGGATATAAAAGGAAATACACAAGGATATATTAAGTGTTATTTTCTGGTCATTTATTTTTTTACAGGCTTATTCCTCCTGTTTTTTCTACTTGCTCAAATCAAGAGGCTTCCACTGATATTTTTTTCAAAATAGAGCCATCAGAAATTTCCAGTGGCTGTTTTCTAGCTATTCTAGAAAGGGAGGTAAGCTAACACAACTACCATTTAAAAACATTTCACAGAAAAAAGAATATTGCCATTTTCCACAAAAGAATATATGAAGTAAAATATATTTTAAAAAATCCTGGCTGTTCTTTAGTTGTCTTAAAAACAAAGAATAGGGGAGCAGCTGAAATGTGCCACTCCTATAGCTTTACACTGAGCACAGCTCTCTCCAGCACGTGCCTTTTCTGCTGGAGTCGTTCCTGATCAGTCTCTTGGTCCAGGTCAGTGCTGGGAACCCTACAGGAAACGCACTGCTGGGTCACACCTTGGAATGCCATACACAGCTTGATCAGACTCATGATAAATGGTGTCTAGCAAAGTTTGTCTGTGCCACCAAGGTTTTCCAGTATCCAAGCAGACAGTGTCACCTGTAGGGATTGAAGACTTCATTATAATTTCAATAAAATGGGTACAAATATGTTTCCTTCCAAAACTTGGGCATATGCAAATCTGGCTTGAAAGGCAGGGGAGCTTTTGCTGAGCAAATGGAAAAACCTTGGTGCAATTCCCAAGGAAAGGCCTTAAAGGATGAGTTTGCATCTTGGAGCATCAACATTTTCCTCTCGTGTCTCAGAAAAGTAGAACTTTTTTTCACTAAAACAGGAAGGAGGGGAGCTAATTAGAATTTCATTGAAAATTAAAGATATGAGATCTTATTTGGTTGTTCGTTATCACTTCCCGTCATACTGCAATTATAGTGCTTGAAAGAAGCTTGTGTCTTGGGGGAAATTAAAGAAGATGGTCTTATTAAGTGAATCACACGTGAAAAGCCATTCATGTTATCTATTATTGACTCATTTCTTTTCAGTGGGAAATATTTTTTTAACCTGGCTTCTTGACTTGTAGTTAATCATGCTGCTTCTACCCACCTACCACGCTGTCTTCCCTCCAGAGAAGGAAACACTTATTTTAGGTAGCTGATTTGAATAATTTTTTAGTCAATTTCTAATGCACAGAAGCAATTGCTCCTATGGCTATTTTTTAGGTGATTCTGGAAATGAACATTTTCTACAAGGCAGAAAAAACATGTACTTGTAATTCAAACTGAAATTTCTGGTTTACAGAACCCTTCTTCTTGGCTACTGGTAAATGGTTTCTTCCCCATTGCTTCCCTTTACATAGTTGGACCTGGTTCCTAGTTAATCTAGTTTGAGAGTTCCTTGCTTATATATTATGAGCAAGGATTCTCATTATCATGAAAATGATTTACATTTAATATTATTGATAATACTTCTATATTTGAGTAACTGTTTGAGACACAGGCATATACATATGTATATATGCATGTCATTACAGTTACGTTACAGAGCAAGTCCATGGGGGAGACATGTAGTACCATGTCCAAAATTCAGTTTCAGGCAAGAGTCCCCAAAAAGCAAATGCTCAGATATTCTTTTACACAATAGTCATGTTCTCAATTTTGTGAATAAATAGCTCGGATAGCGTTTATCACATGTGATGTGAGCCTTTCTGCTAGATTGTGCCTTACTTTTCTTGTGGAGTAAATTCTGAGGAATCTGGATTTCAAGTACCAAGTTTGCAGCTCTGTGTTGTACCTTGGATTCATTGTTGTTCCCTTTTGAAATTTTCAGAAAGATTCTTCTGAGAACATGTCTGTTGGAGACATTTTGGCTTGTGCTGCAGCAAAAGGACCACTAGACGGTGGTGTAGAAAAACCCAAGAAAGAGAAGAAAAAGCAGAAAGCAACACAACGTAGATGGAATATCACTGGTAGCGGTAGAGAGCCAAAGACTGCACAGGTCCTTCACCATGTTAAGGCTGAAGTTCCCATGTCTAGAGCAGTCAGTAACATACAGCAGAAGAGTGTGAATCGAGGAAAACCCCGTGCTGAGGTGAAGAACTCCACCAAGCCCCTTTCAGAGGTGGTGCTGCCTAAGGCGCCGAGGCGCACGTGCCCCGTGCCAGCTGCGGGCGAGGCGCGC